TTTCCGGCACTGACTCAAATCGACCTCCCAGTCAAGGATAATAGTCATAACATCGCTGCATTTTTTCAAGCTGCTGTGCAACAAGAACTTGTTCATGTCTCAACCGGACGTGTTCAAGAGACTTGCAATCGTGTCGATAATTCTTTCCAACAAAATAATGGATGACCAGTGAGTTGATGCTGGTTTTTTAGTTTTTTACTCACACCTTTCAGCACTTTCTCAAATCGCACGTGGAGCGATCTTTCTGGGTTTCCTCTTGTGGAAATAAATGAGATGGAGGTTCGTTCGTCCACTTCCTGCTATTTGCACCCTGACGAAATCCCAAGAGATTTGCCCTGCTGGAGCTTCATCACAGCGTCCGCTTGAAGGCTTCTGAATATCTGCAGTGGCTACGTTTCGTGCAACATTATTGGCAAGAACGGATCAATTCGAAGTCATTGCTCTCGCACCCCAAGTCGCTTTCCATCAACAACTGCGGCTACATTAGCCCAAATTTACGCCAAAGCTCAGATAGCCTAGCGATTAATTTCACACCTCAACCAAACAGCATCTACAACCAACAAACACCGACTCGCCCATATATTGGAGATAATCAATGGTCACAACCCGCAGCTCAAGAAACACTTCCTTCGTCCTTCTTTTTTGGATCACAGCAGATTGCAACTAACAACAAACCTTGCGACCCGAGGCTGTTTGCACCTCTCCCGTCCCTGCCACTTCCGACCCGCTCGGACTCCGGGCTGGCACGCTCCCCTTTCCACCCAGCTCTCGCATATGCTTCTTCGCCGAGCGATTTGGCAGTGAACCTTGTAGGCTCATCTCAACTTCCGGTATCTGCTCAGCTGAAAGCGACGCTGGGGCATAAAGCACCTGCTTTTGCCGCACCTGCGCACGGCGCATATGTGCAAAACTATACTCTCGCCAATCATGATCCTGTGTTGCGCCAAGACTATGTTCCTCGAGGCCCTATTTTTTCAATGGCTCCGGCTCACCCACCCGCACAAAGTGCATACGCTGCATGTCCTCTGCCGGACCCACGGGCGACGCTAAACGCTGAAAACATGAAGTTTATGTATCCTCAGCGACAGCAACAACAGCAGCAACAGCTTCACCAGCAGCCCTACAACCTATTTGCGCCTCCGCCACAGCAGTCCCAGCTGCATCAACCGCAAAGCTACTATTATGGCCCGATTGCGAACGGCCCCGTCCAAAATAATCATTCCACTTGGTGATGATAAGACAGATGCTCAGATATGCGCTTGCTTTGTCGATCACATTGTCATGCTCTTCTCGAATCCAAATGACTTCTCGCTTCCTACGTTTCGTCCCCTATTAATTTATTCGACCTAAAAAGGCCGCACAACCCATAATAACTCGAACCTCTGCCTTCGTACCTCAATATAGAACCGCACACCCTCGCACTTACGCCTTCCCCTCTCGCCCCTAGCTACGCGAAACCTTTTTATCATTGCGTCCAAATAGAAAACGTACTGACCTGAAATTTTAAGGGGTGGCAGCCACTTCGACCCTCCAGTTTCTTCAACAAAATTCAGTGTCATGGCCGCATCGTCACCGTCCCCATCCAACCCAGGAACGCCAGCAGCATCCGCGCGCCAGGATGTGATTCAGTAGGCACCCGTGCTTGCGAGAGTTCGCCCAGACCTTCCCCCCTCGTCCCGCCCCCGAATGCATTCTTTAGCGCCCCAATCATCCCCCACACAACATACCCCGTAGCTGCACTTCCTTTCGCGTCGCTCTGCCCATTCCATTCCAATCTACGCCACCTGCCCTATTTTTTTTGTACTTTTCTTCTCCGATTCGTCGTTCGACGGTGAGGAAAGGGGGTCACTCTTCTTGCCACCGCGCCTTGGCCTTTCTCCCGTTCTTCTGGCTAATCGTCGAAAACGAAAACAAAGGTTTTTGGAAGACCTGGACACTATCGTCCCAGCCGGCTCCCAACCGGGCGCCTCTGGAGGCGGCAATGGTGCCGTGGGTGCCTCTTCTGCAGCGACAGCAGCTTCGGCCTCGACCGTCGCCACCAACCAGGAGGACGTCCTGTCGTTCCTGGATGAGCTCGCACACACCGCCAGCGGGTCTGGCCAGACTTCTGCCGCGCCTCCCTCGAAGTTGCAACAGCCTGGCGCAAGGCGCACGTCAGCTGCACCAACGTCACCGCGTGGGTTTGGCGCTGGCCCGGCGGCCCAGCCGGGTGCGATCGATCCCACTTCAGGAGCTGCGGCGGCGACTGAGCCGTCAGGATCGTGGTCCTGGGGCTCCCTGTGGACCACAGCACAGGCCACAGTGTCTGCTGCGACAGCGACGTCGATCAAAATGGCCGAGGCTATGGTTGAGGAGACCACCAAAGCCGTTACTTCCGACAAGGTCAAGGGGCTTGTTGCAGAGGTTTCTAGCAATGTCTCCAAATCGGTCTCCGGCGTAGTCGGTCATGAAACGGTCGGGAAGTTGTGTAAGTTTACCCTCCTTTTCTTTCCGTTTTGGAACCTTTTCAGACGTCTTTAACGACTAACTATTTGCGTCCGTGTGTCCTCGGGGGGCTTCCAAGCTACTGACTTTTCGAAACTGACGCACTCGATTTCGGATGTGCTGGCTCCGCCGATCAACCGCCTCTCTTCTTCGGGTGCATGGAATCGGCCGCTCGTCCTCGCAAACTCGGCGACCATCTGGCTATGCCCACATGTTGCGGAATCAAGCCCTACCCAGTCTGCCGAGACCGAAACGACGGAGGATTCGAGCCCCCAGAAGGAACCCGAGGGCGACGTGTCCGAAGGAATTGCCGGCGTCGGCAAGATTCTCTCTGCGGCCCTGAAGCGTGTAGTGGCCGACGATGACGGGCCGGTGGGCGTCGAGGCCGCAGCAGACCGAGTGCACGACTTTGTCCAGTCGACGGCCAACAGCGTGTGGCTAGCGAGTGCTGGCGGCGGGCTGGGTCGCCGGCTTTGCCGACGCGTGACCGTGAATAGCGTTATGGACCCATCGCCCAAGACGGCCGGAAGCTTGGACGAAGCGATTCGCGCGGCCGAAGTGCGTGAAAAGCGCTGCAAAACGAGTGCACTGCTTTTTGAAGCTTTGTGGTGTGCAACACGAGCTCGAACTGATACGGTTGCTTTATTCCCCACCCTCACATTCTTATATTGCAGCTCACGCTCACTCGCCTGTACAAGCTCGCCAAGGAAAACGGCCCAGCAGACGCAGAGGAGGACGGCGCCGTCCCACTGATTCCGGGTGTCCCAGCTCATGCGACCGTGTTCATCGTCGTGCAGCCGTTTGCGACCGTTGTTGAGTCGAACATGCTCGGGTCCTCCGAGAAACGCCAGTTCCTCGCTCTGCTTGTTTGTCCCGACGCGTGGACAGGATCCGGCTCTCCGGCCGCGGCCGGAACACCTCCAGTCGACGCCGTGACTGCCTTTTCGGGTGAAGGCGTGGAGATCGTTACGGGCATCTCAAATGCCGTGCAGGCCCTGCCGGCTGTGGCCGCTACGTCCGGCGCTCCGACCCCGTCTGCCGCAATGCGCAAGTGGCACGAGGAGCAGGCTCAGCGTGCAGTCGAGACTGTCTTGGTCGACCTTATTGAAGAGTTTGCCGTGCGTTTACGAACCAAGTCTGCCCCTCCAACTGCCTCCCCCACGACATCTGCGCCTAACGGGCCGGCAGACGGCGAGGCGATTTGATCAGATTAGTCAAGCCAGCCATTATCGTTGCGCACCTCCTTCTGAATCCCGCATGCTAGCTACGTGTTCTCTCTCTTTACGAACAACGTTACTCTTGGCCTACAGAGGCCCAAGAACACAACCGTGCAAAATTGGAATGGGGGAGTTGGGAAAGCGAGCAGAAGAAGCAGATATTGGGCGTCCCTCTCTTCCAAGAACAAGTGCACAACGCCCACATCCTCGCTACCAGCGCAGCAATAGCTGCTGGGCTGCGGAAGTGTAGGGCGGGGGGTCCAAGATCAGCAACAGGGTAATGCATCTTCGTCTCCGAGCACCCAGCCTCCAAGCTGTTCGACCACGGTTTCAATCACGTCGCCATCTTCCATTTCGAGCTGTGATGGTTCATCGGGTTAGAAAGCTTGCAAGAATGACCTTAGATAAGAATCTCACTTCGTTTGGAGTCTGATTCCCATTGAGACGTTTGCCATCGAACATGAACCGATGTGAGTTGGCGCCCTAATGAAAAGAGCCGATGGGAGCGGAAGGGGGCATCAGAGACTGACTCAGGGCCAGGGGAAGAAGACGAACGATTGTGGGGCAGGGAGGCGGGGGGGAACAGGGCATAATGCAGGTCCGTGTGCCAGGATACTCAACGACGCCAGTTTTCGCCAAATAGGCGTCCATCAGCCGCTGCAACTGCGTGGTGCGCTTGATCTTGAAGGCTTAAAGCGCCATGTTAGAACAGTGCCCGAGCGCGCGTGGTGGGCAAGCATAGCACAGCATGGGAGAGTGGGGAAAGTTTGGAAACTGCAACCAACCGATCTCTGTTCCATCCGCAGCCTTCACCTTGAGGTTGATGTGCTGGACCTCGGACTGGTGGTGTGAAGAAGAAGTGCGCAGTCGTTAACCGGCAGCGAGGCCGAAGGGCCACCATCGTTGCCCTCACCTTGGTGTCCGATGGGGTGCTCATGACGTGTCAAGGCAGATTTGGGTTTTGGTGGAACGTTCGTCGTTTGGCCTCTGACAACAAAACGACAGCGAATGGAAGACTTGTGGCTCTTGACTCACGCGTCCTTTAATGCCTCCTTCCTTTCAAAGGAGGCATTAACGGGGATGCAACTGCATGAATTACGAGGGACTGCGCAAAGTGGACATGGCGTGAAAGAACAGATGACCCTGAGTGGGTGGAAGGCGAGGAGGTGGAGTCAGATGTGTGCGAGGGAATGTCATCATCACCAGCACAGTCCCAAACAAGGTCAGCACGATGGGCAGCTCGAAAACGGGAATAGGTTATGGGGTTGAAATGGTGGAGCAAAATCTGAGAAAATGTAAGGGGACTTCCGAGGTTCGAACTCGGGACCTCCTGCACCCAAAGCAGAAATCATACCACTAGACTAAAGTCCCGATTCCTGAGTCTCGCCCACATCCAAGAGAGTGCACTGAGAGTTGCTTGAACGAAATAAACGTTAGGAAGAGCCTGAGTTTCCATGGCTACGTTCATTGGTTGCGTGCGCGACCACCGAACTGTTGAACTTGAGCTTCGAACGAATCGCCATCCGCCAAAATCACACTCTGGGGACGATTCCAGTCAGAACAACCATGCAATGGAGTTGAAATACAAAGCGAAGATGACGCTGGGAGACCCATCGACGCCGGTCTTTGCTGCATAGCCGTCAATCAAACATTTCATTTTAAAGTGTCTTTTGTCTTGAAAAAGGTTCAATGGCGATATCTGGCGTGAAGCGTTGGGTCAGAGAAGACCAACCAACCTCTGTCCCATTCACCACCTTGACCTTTAGGTTAATATGCTGGTCCTCGGACTGAGGGAAGGAGGGAAGGGGGAGTGAGGAGGCGGCACAGAGAGGTAAATCAGTGCGTTGGTCGGAATGTGCTACGCGAACAGGCGCAACGAGCAAAAAGAGCCTTTTGCATAGCTGGACCAAATATGGACTACACCATGCTGCTTCTACCTCCGCTGCGATTGGACTCCCACGACAACCACTCTTATATACAGCGCGGATGACTTGCAGGTGGAATGCCCCTCCCC